TGGCCAAGATGCACATGGCCCTTGCCCGGAGGTAATAATATCGTGGCTTATATTCATGTGGCCTTTGCCCGGGGGTAACAATACCGAGGCCTATATTCACGTGGCCCTCGCTTGGGGGTAACAATACCATGGTTACTTGCGCACAAGATATGGACCTTTATGGTCGTCGGTACCAACTATACATGTAGGTCTTAGGACCAAGTTGGTTTGATAGCTAATGAATATACCACCTATAACTGTTTATGATTTCTAGATAAGTATGCGAATCTGAATCTGAATCTGAATCTGAATCTGTTTCTGATTTGAAATCTGAATATGTATAAGAATCTATTTCTGATATAAACTCTGATTTCTAACTTTGAGATGGACATCATTCATTAAACTCTTTACTTTGCTATTATTCACTGGGCTTCCGCTCACTCTATTATTTATGTATGTAGGTGATCAGACGCGTGTCCAGGCTTAGTGATGACCGCTTTGAGGGTTTTTGTCAGCCAACCTTTGTGTCTCCCGATGAGGTTCCATATGTCTTATGGTCATGCTTTGTGAATATAAAGGCTTTGTTTTCTTTTGGGTTATGAACAAGTTTATGTTAACTGTACATTGGACTAAGTCCATTTTGGCTATATCTGTAACGAATATGATGTATGACTACTGCATCATGACATCACGTATATGTGTATAAAGTTTAAAATTTATGTCCCATATATGTCTCCACAGCTCAATGGACTCTGTATATTTCTATATTTGCTTTTGCACCTCTAATTATAAGTTATTTTGTTCAGAGGCCTTCGGTAATCCAAGGATTACTGGCCGGTTACGGCGTTAAACCCATAGAGACGGGTTTGGGTCGTGACAGATGTATATCGAAAAGAGTATATTCCCAATGTTAATTCAATGAAATGGATTTTGTGTGATGTTGCAGGATTTGGTAATGTTAACTCATCATTATGTGTTTGTAATTTGATGTTTAGGTCGTTTAAACCCTATAAATATGAATCGTGTTTTAATGTAATCAAATTGCTTGACGTTGGCGACGGGTTTCCAGTGAGCATAGTTCCTCAGTGTGTCGAAGGTGGCGTTGGATTTGTTCCGAAATGACGTCAGATATGGGGTTTGTTTGATTGACAAGGCAACATTTTTTCAAAATGTGCTCAGTTGTGTTTTTTTTTTTTGGTGGTTTTTTTTGGATGAATGATCTCTACGTCGATGTTGGTAGTTTGGGTAAACATGTATGTTTGCATATATTTTGGAATGGAAATGTATGATTGCAGTGTAATGTTGATATGAAGTAGTCTGCGATCTTGGGTTAAGGTTGGGTGGGAGTTTGCACGTCTGTTACATTTTGTGGACATGGTTCGATTTTGTGTATATATTACTATATACGAAATGTTGAATGTTGGTGTAATGGGGGTTGATGTTGTGCAGAAGATGTTGGCGTGTGCTGTAAACAAGGTGTAATGGTTGTCTGGTGAGGGGGTTTGAATAAATTGTGTGTTGTATTAAAAATGTGTGGTGCCCTGTATTTTTTTGGATATGTATGTTGGTGTTCGAGTGCAATGTGAGAAAGGTTTGAGGTTAAGTATTGGGTGGGGTATTGATAATGGGAAGTATGTTGTGGTTGGTAATTAGTTGTTGATTGGTGTGCTCTGTTGTCGATGTTAATGTAACATGTTACATAAACCCAACTGCAACAATACCAAATTATCATATTTCTTTATAGATAATCATAAATAATGAACAATCATTATTTGAAGGGCAATTATGACTATTAAAAATTTAATAGGACTTGAAAATCCAAAAAATCTTAGTTATGACTTAATGGAGTATAAATTCATAAATTAGGACTTGTATGTAAATGTCTCTTTATTTTTTAACAATTTTCTCTTTTATGTTTTGGTTTAAATAATGTTTTTAGCATAAGTAAATTTGATTAATTTGGCATGCTTGGGTGAAAAATAAGATAGGGTTTGGCATATAAAATTAAAGGTAAACTATCAATAGGTGCTAATAGTTTGACATAATTCTCAATACATTGAAAATAAATCCTAATATGATCATTGCCAAAAATAATTTTTTGTGACGATTTTTTTACATGTCATTAAAAATTGATAATTAGTAATTTTTTTTGTCACGGTTTTAATAAATTGTCCCTAAAATTTATAATTAGTAATGTTTTTCTGTGACAAAATTTTCAAATTATCGTTGAAAGTTGAAAATTAGTGACTTTTTTTGTGACGATTTTTTTAAACTGTTGCTAAAACTTTAATTAGTGATATTTTTTGTGACAAAATTTTTAAATTCTCACTGAAAATTAACATATAGTGACTTTTTTTTATAATGTATGATAAAAAATATCATTAATTATCATACTACCTATTGGATAATAAATTCACTTAGTAGGACTTATATGTAAGTCATCTTATAATTAAAAAAGCTATTTTTATATATATATTTTTTTCTTTAATAATATATCAGGTGACACCTAAATTTGAAGCGCAGAAAAAAAATTGTTGTCTCCTACTTTACTAGTTGCCCATGTCGCCAAAATAAATGAAATTTTTCCATGGATATATCTCTTGACCATAAAAAAAAATGGAACACCTATGAGATCACCCTACAAAAAATGTAGATAAATAATATGTTTATTTTTTTCAATTCAAAAAATATACCCAAGTTGAAAACCTTTTTTTAACAGAATATTTGAACTCTTTTTCAATTGAAAACACAAACAAAATATTTAAACAAATTGAAAACACAAAGTCTTATAAATTACTAAGGGTGCTTGCAGTTTTGCGGTTCGATTGCGGCCAAAGGGAGCTCAAATCCGCCATCCGTCTGCCAAATTAGCGGATTGGAGAAAATCAATCCGCAACCGTCCGCTCATCATCACGCATCCGTCCAAAATGCGGCGGATCAGTTCTGTTCGGTCGGTTTTGACGGATCGGTATATCCGCTGCTCACCCCTAGTTCTTAGATTTCGTCAAGCCATGATAGGCCAACGATGATCAATGAAGACCACTGAGGCATGATCAATGGTCCAAAAGAAGTTTTTCCTTACTTAGTCATTATGAGCCATGAATTTATAAGGTTGTCGCCACCTAGGTTCTCAATTTTATCCATGTGTGAGATTACCTTTAAAGACAAAACACTAAAATTAAATATATTTTGTTATCTCCTTATACCCCTTAGTTTTCAATCTCTACTCCCCTTTTTCCCTTCTTAATTTTTCTTCACTTATACATTTCTTTTCAAAAAGTGAGAATTATAGTATTTTGATCATTAAAGAAAGCAATAGATGAAGAAACGGTGGTGAAAAACCATCAAAAAAGTGAAATGGTGAGTTTTTTTTATTTATTTGGTAGGTTTTTATTTCGTTTTTCTGGACTAGTGTTCGACTTTTGTTCAGTGGTTTGAAATCAAACAAAATAAAATAGTTCGACATCACATTGCCGAACAAAAAATATAAGTCTGGCAACCAACTATCGAATAAAAGATACATTTCCGGTAACCCCAAACCGAATTTTTTTAATTTGTTCAGCTTATCATTACCATGTATTTTCAGTTTCATTTTTTTTTATATTTTTTATTTTTTTGCCTGAAAGGATTATACTTATACTCATTGTAACAACGCAAGTACTGCAATATTAGTAAACTCTAGTCATGAATTCATTACAAACGAGGTTTATTTAGTTTTTTTTATGAATACGATTTTTTCTTATTTTTAATTTGTATTGAGTTTAATTAATAATTTGACGTATAAATGTATTTATTATCTTTAGATTTTTCGTAGTCGTGAAGCATTAATTAAATGGGCTTCTAACATTGGGAAAAAGACTAAATTTGTCATTGTTATAATGACATTAGATGCGGGAGACAATGGCAAAAAATCACGACTTACACTTACTTGTAAAAGAAGTGGTTACTATAAAGAAAACAGGAAGATCAAGGGGGAACAATTGAGGTTGACAGGTTCTAAAAAGTGTGGATGTCTATTTCTATTATGGGAGAAAAATTACCTATAAATTACCAAGACGAATTGTGATAATATGTTTGATTAATGGATACAAACAATGACAGATTTTATGGATATTTTATGAATATTTGTACACTTGATGTTTTTATGAATAAATTTATGGATACCTTTTATGTATGATTTTACGAATGCATGTTTGATTTATGAATTTTTTTAATGGATGCTTCAAGGAAAAACTAAATCTTTTAATGTACAGCGACGGGAGCCTAGATAACTCTATTGTAGTTTGGCAACATGATACTAGAGTAATCTCATTTGTATAACAATGTGGGTGTTTGGGAAGTGAGTTTTTTTTGTAGGTTTTTTTAGTTGTAAGATATTATTGGAGAATTTTTTTTTTTTTTTTGTGTTTAGGAAGATAGATTTTTTTGTGGTTGGATGAGATGTTTGTGAGAGAAAAAGTGAAATAATTATGGGGTTTGATGTGATATTTTGTTTGGATTTGTTTTTTTTAGTTTTGTAAAACATTTGTCTTGTAGCGAAAAAAAAACAAAAAAAAAATCTAAAAACCAAGGTCCCAAACACCGCTATTGAACATGCATTTCACAAGTAACCCAAATTAATTTTTTGTTATCATCTAATTGGACGGCAACATAATGCTGGAAAAAAAATATTGTTCGGTAACATGGCATTGGAGTAATTCAAATTAATTAGCGTTGTACCGAACAGGCCCACCACAAATTAAAAAATCATTAATTGGAAGAAAGTCTCTGTAAATGTATAGCAACAAAATGCTGGAGAGATCCATTTTTTTCGGTAACATAACACCAGAATAATTTAGCACCGTGTTACCGAAATTAATGGTGTAAAGAGATGAAATAGTTAATTTAGGGTTAGTGTTGGTAATATATTGGGGGTTGTAATGAGAATTACATTATTTTTAGTGGTGTAATGAGATGGAAGGTGTAAAGAGATTGAATAGTGGTGTAAGTAGAATCACCCTTTTTAAATTGGTAGGATATGGATGGAGTTTACATTTTTACTCATTGTGAGTAGATTTGGAGGGATTCTGTTACTTGATGTTTGGCTATCAATGTGGAAGGCAAGTAACCCAAGGGTGAGTGGCATTGTGGTTAAGCCTTGGGGTTTAAGCCCCAAGGTCACAAGTTCAATTCTCTCCCTCTTGGGCCAATCTCCTGGGCGAAGCACGGTTGGTTAGGAGGTTGGACTTCAAGTTGTCTAATCAGCACTTGGTGTGGGTTCAATTCTCCCTCGTTGTGCGAGTCCTGACTTAAGCGAAGCTTGTCTTGGGAGGTCGGGGCAAGTTCCCAGGTTATAGTCTCCTCACTTGAAACGGTTAACAGGACACCCTGGTGATCTCTGCAAGGGGCGCTGCCTTGGATCTGCAGGAGGGTAGGGAAGATTTTCCTGTAACCAAAAAAAAAAATGCAGAAGGCAAGTTTTAACATTTCCATTTGGTATTGTTGCGGTTGGGTTTGCGTAAGTGTTACATTAACATCAACCACAGAGCACACCAATGTAATGCGTTACATTAACATTTCCATGGAGTTGCCAATGCTATTGTATGTGCCCAGTTTGGTTTAGAGTGTATTATTTATATGGGTGCTCAATAACTGAGAATTTTTGAGCCTGTGTTTTCTGGTTTAGAATGGCATACACTTTGCAAAACGTAGCAATAAATTTGTGAGTTTCAAAGATTAAAATGGAAAATGGTTTTTATTATTTATTTCTGCTGAGTAATGGTTGTCTCATTTGCAAAATTGTCTCTATCTTCAACTACAATGTTGAAGTTTGTGTAGCAGTTCTGATTCTATGACATTTTATTTCGAAATTTAAACTTGTTCTTCCTTTGTTTTTTTTTTCTTCTATAAAATTTTTATTTTATCAATTGATGGTTATATTTTGTTGTTAACCATAGCATTATGTATAACCTCAATAGTGCTGAACTATCCTTATGTTTGCTAATGCATAAGATGTCTTGTCTTCATTTGCCAAGTTACCGTTTTTTTATTTAGATTCCATTGTTAATTCTGCTAAACTACTTTTTTTAGTTCTCCCTTTGCCATTCAAGTGGCTTGCATATTTGTTTGAATCAGTTTCACCCTAGTGTGATCCATAATGCAGTTGTTTTTATGAGTATGCTTCTTTAGACAAAAAGTTCCAATTTTTTCGTTATAGTAGGTTAGGGCAGTTCATTCTGGAGCAGCCACATTGAAGGATGCTACATCAGAAGCTATACGGGACTGGGTGACTTATGTGGAATCAACCCATTACATCTTGGGATCTGTTGCCGGGCCACATCCATACCCCATGATGGTAGGAGAGTTTCATGCGGTGATTGCTAAAGAGATTAGGAAACAAGCATTGGAAAAATGGGGTGGGAAACCAGACATTCTTTTTGCATGTGTTGGTGGAGGTTCCAATGCCATGGGACTCTTTCATGAATTTGTTGATGACGAAGATGTTAGGCTGATAGGTGTGGAAACTGCAGGTTTCGGATTGGATAGTGGCAAGCACACCGCTACCTTGACAAAATGGGAGGTTGGGGTGCTACATGGAGCTATGAGCTACTTATTGCAGGATGAAGATGGGCAAATAGTTGAGCCCCATTCCATTAGTGCAGGGTAAAGAAATCTTATTGATCCTTTTGTCATTGGCCTAGCCATGATGTTTTCTGCCTAACTAAAAATAGCTTGGACTACCCTGGAGTTGGACCAGAACAAAGCTTTTTGAAAGACATAGGACATGCTGAATACTATAGCATTACGGACAAAGAGGCCTTGGAAGGTATGGAAATTGCATTTAGCTTTACTTTTTAGGATCTGCATTATTGCTTATGATGCTTATTAATTATTTGGGGCTAGTTGACTGTGATTAGTGTTCTTGTTTTGGGCCGATTCCACATGCACTTTTGTTGAGAGAATTTTTGACAAATTATTCGCCCTCAATCAGCCTCCATAGTTATCTGTAGTTAATTGTTATTAAAGGCCGGGGTTCCTCTCCCCACCATTATTCCTCCTTCATTTCCATTACACAGTTTTTGTGCTCTTTGCGTGCAGCTTTTAAGAGATTATCTCGACTGGAGGGTATAATCCCAGCATTGGAGACATCTCATGCTCTTGCATATCTGGAGAAGCTGTGTCCAACCCTCTCCAATGGAACTAAGGTTGTGCTCAATAGCAGTGGTAAAGGAGACAAGGACGTTCAGACTGCCATTAAATATTTGCAAGTTGAATAGGATCTACAGAAATCTCTTTCTCAAGTGTCTCTGTTGCTTGAAATGAGTTGTTCATTGTATCAATGAAACCAAGTTTTGTTTTTTCTGTTGAATATGTAAGCACAATTTTGGGACATGGGTTAATCTAGTCTGTCTTGTGTCTTCAATGAACTTTGCTGATGTTTATTTTCCAAGTGGAAGATTTTGTTTTGGTAATTTCTCCCTGCTAGAAATTGGGCCCCCATATGACATGACTCATGACCCTTTTGAACCTTATCCATGTAAGTTTTGAATTTGAATTCAAAACCTGTTTGGATAATCCACTCTTGATATCTATATCTATCATGTCAACTGTTATGGATAGATTGATATATATGGTTATATATCTTATTAGAGCATCTCAAACGGTGAACCAAAATTTTCACCAAATTTGAGTAAAAAAAACTCAATTTTCTCAATCTGATACCATTTGCTCCAACCATGCATCAAAAGGGAAGTGGCCGACCGGTTGGTTGACCGGCCAGTCGACCGGTAGGGCCAAAATTATTATTATTATTATTTTTTTACCTATTTGAACTTTTTTGACCGGTTTGAACCTAATTATTTGAAAGGGAACCGGTCGACCGGTTGGTCAACCGGCCGAACAACCGGTTGGTTGACCGGTTGGCCCACCTCAACGGTAACACACAGTGAACTGGTGAAATTTGAAACCTGTTCTCACTTTGATGAATTTTTTGTTCCATTCTCATTTTGATACCAATTTGGTGAAACCATTGGAGCTCCAAAAAGTGACTTTTTCACCAAATTTCAAATCTGATGCAAAGTTTGGTTCACCGTTGGAGATGGTCTTATGTATTTGTATAAGATATTGATATCAGATACGTTATATGGTTTTTTTTTACCCATAACATTTTTTATATACTCTCTCTAACTCTCTCCCATTAAGAGAACAATCCAACCTTTGCACTGTAACTTGTGTGGGTGGTACTCATATTGTGGTATCACTCCACTGGGAGTTCGTTGTTCACATTTATTGAAGCACATGATTTACCCACAAGATTCTTCGCTTCTATCACCTAAGGTATGATTTGAAATTTTTACCCGCTGCGTTATACTTGTTCTTACATTGGTATCAGAGCTTTAATGGGTATTTTCGTGCTTATTTTTATGCATTAAAATAGGTGTATAATTTTATATAAATATATACACGATATATGCATGAAAATTAATAATTTTTCTAGCTATCTCCAATCAACCTGAAATTTATATATATTGTAGTATATTTAATGTAGAACATATATGCAAAGTTTCATAAAAATCCAACGGTTAGATTTCAAGAAAAATTGAGACCCATTTTATATTTTCAAAACTTTACATGCATGATGATTTTACATCCTCTAATTTCAGTCTACAAATCCTACATATTTAGAATCCTTGTTTCGAGACCTTCGAAACGATATATTATTTGTTAGATTTGGATTTACGATTGATGAGATACATCAAATCCTAATTTTGGTTCGTTTTATTTTTTTGGTGGCTTAAGGAAGAAGATGAATGCACTTCCACTCTCATTTGAGAGAGAAATAATACACCCTATTATTTGGGTTTGTTAAATTTAATTTTTGATACCATTATTGATTTTATTTTCACAAATGGAGTCCGACAGTACAAAAATCGGACCAGAAAATACCTTGGAAGACGACGCGTGATCCGCACGCGCCATCTGATGACGTCAACGCTGCCACGCGCGCGCCACGTGTCACTACGCGCTACCCCGGAAGGCGGCGCGTGAGCGGTACGCACCAGATGACGGCGGGCACACGCTGCCATGCACTTCCACGCACCAGGCGCGCTTCCCACCTGCCATCACGCGCGCGTCAGCAGCGCTATCCGCGTCTTGCGCCATCCACGCGCACACCCTGCATTGCGCGGCACGCCGAGCCTAGTCGCGCCATTTTCCATGCCGGCTTGGCTGGTTTGGCAGTTGGGTATAAGGTTTTGTTTGTTTGTTTTAAAATTCAGAATTGCTTTAAATGGTCATAAGTAATTCGCTATAGCTTTGTTTTAAGCGTGGTTGGTACTGTTAGACTCAGAATTAAATTTTCTATCTTCTATAAAATTTTCAAAATTTTAAAAAAATAAAAATATTTTTCCTGAAATAGTAATTCATTATTTCTGCTTTAAATGCTTCTAGTGTTGCATGATTAAGTTTCTGGAGCTGAAATCTTTACTGTAGACTATTGTAATGGTTTACTATTTACTGGTATGATTGTTGCTTTTTTCCAGATTCTGAAATATTTATTTATGATTTCATGTGTGTTTATTAATTATTTAAAATTCCAAAAAATATCATAAAATTTCAAAAAATTGCAAAAGTGATATACTTTCTGTTATGTCATAATCTAAATATTAAATACAGCATATTGTTATTTTTTGTCTAGAGTTTCTAATATGTTGTGATTCGAATAGCATGATTAAATTTTTATTTATTTAAAATTCCGTTATTAATTGTAACATAGCATGAGTTGATTGTGAATCTACATTATGATGCTATTGTATGGAATTAGAATATTTTATCATACTTTTAGACATGCCATAGTCAGTGAGAGGTTGTTCGGTTGAGAGAAATCTTTGTATATTTACTCTGGAAAACTAATATTTTGCACATAAATTAAATTAAATTTTGGATAATTGTCACATGTGGCGTAAGAGGATTACGAGCATAGAAGATTTTCGATCTTGCGACTTGTGTAATATTGTCACTATTTAATTTAGATTTTTGCGGCAAAATTATATTATGCTAATCAAATTAATCCCAATGCGAATTTCTCTCTAAATTGACTTAGCTTATGGAAGTTAATTTGGTTGACCTAGACTTAGTAGAGATGTTCAAATGTGAACAATGTAATCCTATTCTTTAGATGAGCAAAAGTCTTGGAGACTTTAGGTCAGACCTTAATTAAGCCAAAGTAAGGAAATATGACTTGAAGTCGCCGTGGTTTTGTTGCCATGTTTGGTACAATAAAAACTGAAATGTGCGCTATAGCTAGCGGCACGCTACGTAGTTTTGATTGGCGAGTTTTTGGAGTTTTGAACTTAGTAAGCCCTCAATAGATCAGTATATGATCTTGACTATTGAGCTGCGTGGATTGACTTTGTAATTTGACTTGTGTCACACCCCAAATCCGGGCATGACCAGCCGTGGCCCACAGGGACTTAGCGCAAGGCACACGTAAGCCTAAACATGAACCCAAAAATCATAAAGAATAAATGTGATGATAGCCTAGAAATAAATAAATCAAAACTCAATCCAGTGACATGCCACAATTGAAAAACAAGTCATAACCAACTTCCTAAAAATATATATATACTAAATGGGACACAAACCGCCTACAAAATAAAATAATTCTACATATAACCCAACCACAATGTATGCACAAAACTCGACAAAGCAACCTAAAACAAATTAAATAAATGCCCTAGAGGTCCATGCAATTGAGTCCCCGCTACGCCATTAATCCACTCTAAGTCCTTTTAACACCTGGAAATGGTAAACAACTAAGTCAGCTGATAGCTCAGTGAGTAGCAACATGGATAGGAAATACAGTTTTGAAAACAGGGTTCAATTCCAAAATAAGATATATCACAGAAACTAGATTGGCATACAGTTTGGTAAATATAATCTGTTTCAAAAAGAAGGTTCCACAGTTTAACACTTAAAATACTCATGTCTCGCAAGAACATGATAAACGACATTTTCCACTTAAAACAGATTATAACATGAACACCAATAATTTTCTGGGTACCAAGAAAAACAAATAATATGTTGCACAGTTCTCAAGGCTATAAGCCCCGTTGGATCCAATACCGAACTAAGAGTCATCCTCAGGGTGGCACCTGGGCCTTTTCTCAAAGACGATCCGATTGAAGGTCACCTAGTTGTTTTTAAAGGAGTAGCCAGTATGAGCAGTGTTTTGCTCTCTACCCAATTATTGGGAGTAGATGGAGTAAAACTTCACGCACCATAATAGTGTGCATTGAAGTATCACTTGAAGTTAAAAGATTAGCGCTTAGTAGCAGCAAAATCTATTAGCATTGCCAACTTGTCTAAGTCTGGACACTGTTTCTACAGTTGAGTGTAAGACATGAGGAGGTGCTTCTTTGTATGATTCATTAGCTAGGCTAACGTTTTTTGAATAACGTTTACCACTAAGCGCAAATGTTGTAGCATAGCAATGAAAAGGTCAAGGCCGACAAGGTTATAATGACTCTAAGATTTTGACACATCGCTTGTGAGAGCATTGTGTTGAATTAGACTCTTTAGCATAATCCGCGCTTAAGTTACTTCAGGAGTTGTCATAGATTAATAGCTTATTCTCTCCTTCTTGTGGATAGTAGAATTAATTGCAAGTAACTATGAAGTGAAAAACAGAGATGACAAGAGGAGTATCATCATCTTTCAACTAGATGCAATAAAGTGTATAGAGAATAAAATTGACTTGAAGGTGCAGGGGATTAGCACTTACTAGTTAAATTTGCGACTTAAACGCACTTGATATCTCCATGACATCCTTTTATGATCTAGTGAACATGAATTAGTCGTGAGTCATTACCTAGTTGGGCCTAAACCTTTTAAACTTGTTTTCGAGAACTCACACATTAGAATGATTGGAATTAGTTTATGACATTGGACATAAACTGGTGGTTTGTTATACTTAATCACATTAATGAGAAGATGACATGGATGGTTTGAGTAGGCCCTCTCGGACCCACTCGCTTGTGACATCCTGCTCTCATATAAATGTGTAACTTTGTTCACAATGGTTGCACACAAGTAAGTAGAAAAGTCGTAGAAGGTCATTTGTATTGGCACATTTAGTCCACTATGATATTTGTAACTAGATATGTGTAAGGGTATGATAGCTAAGCCTCAATCTCGACACATTTATAGATTACGATACGTATCTGAGTCAAGACTATTTGATCTCCCATAAGTCAAAAGTTTTGAGATGATTTTTGACATTGCACATATGAGATTGAGATCAATTAGATAACAGCTTTCGTGCTTTTAGTTTTGACCAAGGTGGTGAGTATCTATTTGAGTTATTTTAGAAAACTCTGTGAAGAGAAATGGATGCTTAGAAAATTGATTATTCTTGGTACTCAACAAC